CCATTTCCTAATCACTTTATCCAATACAGGCTACAGAGCCTATCACAGCAAGCAATGGGCACAAGGCAGGGATTACCCAGGACTGGCGTTAGTCCATCACAGGGCAGGGGCACACACAGACACAAATACACCAACTATGGCCAAATTTCCCCAGAAGCCAATTAACCTGCTGGTATGTCTTTAGACCACCCAGAGGAAACCCATGCAAACACAGAGAGAACATACAAGCTTCACAAAGACAGTGCCCCTGGAATTGAACCCAGGCCCCCAGTGCTGTAAGACAGCAATGCCGGATACTGCGCCAACATAGGTTCTTCTTCAAATATACACAATAATGTAATGCAGTAGATTTTAAAATGCACATTTCTCAAATTACATTCTTACGAAGATGATCAACCAACCATCCAAATACATCAATGACAGCATCACAAATTTAAAACTAGTGACATAAGACCCAGAAGGATGAATGGATTGACCTATTTATTATTTTGGGATTTGCAATTATGGATGTTGAACTATCAAAATGAAAACTGAAACTAGATCAAATAAATTTCTTGGGGGGTTGTACCTTACTCAAAGCGTGCTATTTAGTGGTACAAAAAGACAGGCTGATTTGTACAAAACGAGGAAATCTTAATTTTCGATTTACCGTTTCGGATACTAACAAGGCCTGAATTTTGTGCTTTGCAGGAATGCCATGCTGGTGGATAAACAGACTGTCAAGAGGAGCCTTTCCAGCTTTGATCAAGACTGCATATCACTTGACATGCCTCTGAATTTGCACATTTCCCAATTTGAGTGAGAGCTGTGAAAACTGACAGGATCCCCCGCAGGGAGGGCCATTCCACAGTCTCCTTTAATCCGCTCTTGTTAACCAAACCTCGATTACAAACTGAAAATAGACAGTGAATAGAATATATACCTTTATATATCATGATATGTTTATATATAGATCATTTTCGTTCTGCATGTCAGAATCTGAACTCGTAATCTGAGTTTCTATTCTATTTTATTCGGAACAGATCTCGACACAATATAAAACTGAAATGTTAAAATCCTGACGAATCGTTAAGGTCTCTTCTTCAATATGTTGTTAATTACTAAATGATACGCTACATTGTAATTTACATTTTGGAAAAATTCGGCTGGAGGTATCTTATAGTAAAAGCTGTTACGTTGCGTAAAGTTTATGGGCGCCACCTTTTAAGATTTTGTAATAATCGACGGAATAGGGAGAACGAGTGAAAAAAAGAGGGCTCTTTGTAGTACTGCCTGGCATTTTGTTTGGGGACAGGATTTAGCATTTTCCTGTTGACTAAAGCAATTGTTTCCGTACCTGGTGGTGTTGTCATCGACACGTCCTTTTCACAGTGCCATCAAAGGTGACCGTGTTTACAAGGCTGGAGACGCAGCCTCCTGTGCAACAGAGCTCTTTCATCTTCTCCGTGAGAAGTCCACGACGCGCCAGCGAGGTAGTCTCCTCGCTTCTGAAAGATATCCCTTTTAAGTCATAGTTTTACTACTATTCAATACTGTTGTATGAAACAAGGCCGTTTTATTTCTTAGCAGATAAAGCACATGTTATGCTTAAAAATATGTGTGGGTTGGAATAATAGAGCAGACGGGAGAATTCCTGAGGCAAATTCTTTGTAGAACACAAGTAGCTTGGAAAACTCAGCAAGCCACTTTACAAAAGACCCGAATATGTGTATGTGATCTGCACAGTATATTAACTGCATTCAATAATGAGATGATGGGAGGAAAACGAGAAAATCCTTCCCATCGTTATATATTTATAAGCACTTACATGTTAGTATTTGAAAGGTCTCAATTCTTTACAGTAGTTCTAAAAATCTTTCACAGCCTAGCTCTGTGTTTTGACATTGTAACTGGCCTTTCAACAAATAAAAATAACTTTTATATTATGTAAGTATAAAAAATATCTATTTACAACTAGTATTTAATGCACCTATTGCGATTAGGTATACACTTAACTCTTCATTTACATGCCTTTTCATTCCTGTCGAACAGAAGTGGGCAAGTTCTTATGCAGAGAACTACGGAGAGCAGTGAATAGTGACCCACACTAAGGAAAAGATCCCTTGCACCTCATATAGCAAAGATAAACACCTTTGTTTATAAGAATACGTTGAGGACATAAACTTTCTTAAATTGTCACGTTAAAATTGAGTATACTCAACTAGCAGGATTAGAAGGTAGTGATATCCATAAAGCTCTAAAATCAGAAATAACCTAGTTTTAATATGTCGCCATGACGCGGAGATTATCAATGTAGTACATATAAGTACGTAAAAACGCATATAGAAAGGGGCTGAACCAAAACCTACAGTAAAGCTTATTTTATTTTAGACAATAAAATGTTTAAGCAAACGTTTATCATATTTAATAAATCAGACGTTTGTTCCTCTACTGTAAGTATATGTGTTTTGGCTACTGTAGCAAGCAACTGTTGTGTGACAGAATTACATTATAGAATAACAGGAAAGATTATTGTCTTTTCAGCTTTCTTTATTTTCATTTACTAATTGCATATACATTACTTTCGAAATATAAAGTTGGATTGAAAAAAATGTCGGGATTATATTCTTTAAAAAAGTTCGAAAGTTTTGCCACTAACACCCAGTCTGCACATCAAACATTCGGCAGAAATCAAAAAAGCTTCACAGGGTGGCGAGCGGCGACCCCCTTGCTTTGAAGACGAAGCGTCATATTTGACACTGACACTGCAGAAACAAAAGGGAATTTAAAAACCGGTCACTCGGGCGAAGCCAACTCTGAAAGACTTCTAAACATGTGGTCTTCCTGCACCCAGATGATTCGCAGTGAAACATCAGTTGACTGTAGGTTAATGAACATGTTCTGTTGCGATACTCCACTTATTACTCTATTTAACCCTTTAAATTTATTTCATATTGGGTATGTTAATCACATGCCTTATAAGGTGTATTGAAAGCCTGTATGACCTATAGTCATGTTTAGGTATTCCAGTCAATTTCATTGTAGCCTTTACTTAAAACCTGTGATTTAATGAATTGAAAATGGATTTGATAAAATTGTTAATGCACTTTAATGTGTCATTTGATAATGCAAATATTATCCTTCTCGGCATTGGAGTACATGGTCGACAAACATTGATTTGTTCCAAAAAGGACACATTACTTTGGGAGGGAAATAACATTATCTTTAATCGCTTGAACACAAGGTAGACAGCAATACATTCTAAAGTCACATAGCATGGGTGGAAGGCGATACACGTAAGGCACGATGAACGATTACAAAGTCGCCGAGCTTGACAAGACTGTTCTCAGGAAACAGCTGAGCAATACATTCACGCTGGTTTAACAGTAAAGCACATCCAAAAACAGATCCATCTAATTACAGTGATAACAAAAATCCAGATTACGAAAAAAAAAATACATATTGGACATAAAAACACTAATGTGCTAACAGTCATTTCACGTGCGCGCATGTACATGTACTTTCCTCCCCTAATGGAACCCTGCTGCCAATATTTTGACATTTATTATCTAGCATTTAATTTATCCTTCCTTCATTGAAGGTAAAAGTACACGCCTAACTGATTAAAAAAAACTAATACATATTCCTTTAAGGAATATGGGGAAAATGTACAACTAAAACCCAATATTCTATACAAACACAATTATCTTGGTAATATTCATTTTTATAAAACACTATTTTTTTATTTCTAAGTGGACATCTGTAGTTAGTTGAAACACTTAGCGCATTACCAGATAGGTTGTGCTTTACAAGAGCTTTTCTGCGATGTCCACACTTAACGAACAGATATTTACAAACACATAGTCTCGCCTCTAAGAGGAGAGCTCTAATAAGACGACTGGAAATCAGTAGAAGTCAGAGGAACAGTGCCATACATTACTGAAACAACACCCGTGGACCCTTTTTTTCCACAATTATACGGGCTATTTTTAACGGACCTCAAAATACACACAAGCCATATCAGTAGGTAGGTTTTAAAATAAAACGTGATTTTCATTGAGAAAAAAAGGCAGGGTCGGACGAGACGTCTACCAAGGTCTCCACATCGATTTTGAATAGGTAGTAGTGGGCATATTCTGGATCCCCGAGTTTTCCAGGGTTTCTGGCGAAATTTGATTCTGTTCATTGTCAGTCTCGTCCAGATCAGAACAGATGTCCTCGCCTGATGTTGTGGAGGGGGCCGGAGAGAGCAAGGAGGGGGCGCCGGACAAGCTCGTACCTCCGGGGGACACCAGAGAGGGGCACATCCCCTCACTAGCAGGCCAAGTGCTGTTGTTGCTGGTGCAGTCCGACATTAAATCCACAAGCATATCCTGGAAATGGTCTTCATTCAAAGGCATAGATTCCAAAAGGTGATTTAATAACTCCGCAGCCACCGTGGCGTCAATCCCTGGGCAATTCGACACAAACATGTGCACCTCGTGCATACACTGGATGTACCCTGCAGCGAACCTCTCACTGGCCTCTCGGTTTAGAGTATCTGCTTCTGCAAATACAGAGGGGAAAACAAAGATTAGGTATGCACACATCTTGGGAAGGGGAATTACGCGTTATGGCTCCGTGCGCTGTTTCGAGAATGCAGGCTGATCAATGGCACTCAGACCGCGTTAAAGCATTTCTTACCTATTGCTCTGTTCCGCAAAATGTTTTCAACTCGCTTCACGGTCATTTCTAACACTTCGGCATTCTCCATTTTTGTCTGGAACTATAAAAGCAAAAGCAGGATGCCATTACGTTTCATTTTTAAAAAAAACTTACAAACGCAATAAAAGTATTTGTATTCCAGGTATATTGATAAATAATAATTAAAAAAAACAATGTAAAAGACTATAAAACTTACATCCGAATCTGCCAGGAGCCCCCTGAGTTCATGTAAACTCTCATTGATACGGGCTCTTCTCTTTTTCTCAACCAAAGGTTTCCTTGCCTATAGTGGAGGTTTAAAAATAGGATTCAATCACAGCCCCTGAGTGCAAATGACAGCATTTACAGAAACGTGTACGTGAAACGAGCAGATAATTACCTTTCTGTCCCCTTTGATCCCATAGTATTCCTCCTCATCCCTGCTAGATCCATTTTTACTGGGTCGAGATGAGGGGGCCATGTTGGTTTCAACCCAAGAACAAGAGAAAACAGTGTGTAATCCACAGTTGCGTTACTATCCTTCAAAGTGGCAGCTGGAAGGCGGACGCAGACGCAAATCTATACAGTATGAGCAAACAAGCCCGGGTTTATTGTGTAACCTTAACGAGTTCTGCCGTTGGCACTGGATGGCTGTGGTAGGTATTTATAGGGTCTAATTTACATATGAATGAGAGGCTTGGCTACTCGAACTCGGAGACGCCGGAGCGACCCCCGTTTCAGCCAATCGCGAAGCAGCCCTTTGTCTCCGCGCACAGACTCTCTGGACTCGCTTGCGCGGACATGTGAATGGGCAAGGAAATTATTTTTGTGGTTTATTGTGCCGGCAGAGGCGATTTTCTCCCCCCCCAAACATTCATGAGCCTGGGAGGAAAATTATAAACCACGGACGCTCCAGGGCAATGAAACAATGCACTGTTAGATATTCATGCAGTCTGTTTTAAAAAAAAAAACTTTACTGTAGAGTGTATCTGTATTCATTGTGTCCTCAAACAAATCGGAATTATTCACATCGTATCCATCTAGACAATCCGAATATAAAAGATGAAACACAGGGAAAAGTATGGGAAAAGCTGTGAAAGAACACTTATGTTCTTTGACCAAAAAAAAAACTGTTCCGGGGCGGAAGTAGTGTTGGGTAATATTACTTTATGACAAGACAGCATGTTTCTTATAGGGAGACGTTTCAATGGTTCATTTAGTTGGTTCCCGTATATATTATGGAGCACTATTACATTAAAATGACAATATTGTATCATGCAACTCTGTGGCACATAAATTCCAAATACATTGTGATTTTTATATAATTAAATGATCATATATTTAAGAAAAAATACAATTGGAGCTGCACGGACATTATTTCTAAGGGCATGAGAACACAGCTAATGCGAATTTCATTTAATTTTTTTTTTTTGCCCTGCTTCTTTCCTGTACCTCCTATTCGAGATCTGTTACTCTGAGACCTATTCTGTACGGCCTTGTGAATGTAACACGATGCCGACAGTTGGCAGCTGCAGCCCCTTTGGACTAAATGAATCAAGTCAGAGAATTAAGGACCAGTCCCCAAAGAAAACGACAGGTGTTAGCTCGCGCTTCATTTGTTCGCCGTTGTTCGGTTCTCTCGGTGGTTTGCAAGCGCATATGATCCAAAGGCTAGAGCTCATTCTCCTTCTGCACAAACTTGGAGCTCAGAAAGTCTGCAGGGGACTCACACACACACAAAACAACCTCGTACTGGAGTATTGGAGTGAAACACATTCATATCAGTACGAATCTCGGAGAAAAGCTCACAAAACACATATACAAAGAGACCTTATTTAAACTGCCCTTTTGGGAGGTGCGATGTATAATGATGCTGACGATCTATAATGAGCAGTTCGGTAAAAGCAGTTGGAATATTGTTCATAGGCACTAGAGGTGTGTGTTTCTCATTTAATCGCACGTGTAACGTGCAGGGATTGTATTGTTACGCAGATGCCGCTGTACAATTGAAAGGGGAACTTGCGCCTGGCTCTAAAAATAGTTCAGAGAGGCACTTAGCAATTTCCACAGGTAAATCAACAGAAAAGCACAAATTCTACGCACTAAATTTCCCCTCTAATTCAGCAGGCTGGCAATAGGGGAGCAATAAAACAGCTACACTACCGAAGAGAAGGCAATATTTCTGGGCTTTGAAGTGGGAGGTTTTGGCACCTCGCCCTGTCATGCTTTGCTTCAACTATTCCTAACAGTCTAGTCTGCAGATCTAGCAGCTGTCTGTGACTGCCTTTGTTCACTTCTCGCAGAAGTACCTAACCCTCCCTCTCCTTCACCACCATTTTAGTGCTATTCATGGCTTGCTGAATGATAGCAGTATGCATGTACACCAGGAGCTTATCAATTTATGTCGTGTGTGTTAAAAGTTGGATTCGCCATCTGTTTCCCTATAATATATTCAAGGCTATAAAATGTTTTGACGTGTTTTTTTTTACAAAGTAAAAGAAAACTCATAAGACAACCAGCAGCTACATATATATAACTGATACAAACTCACTATTGAGAGAAAAGGGTCATTGTAAGTTTGTGTGCCTTCCACTCAATCATTTACCGTCTTCCTGGTAGGTACATAAGTAATGAAAATCACGTTTATTAGGAGAGGAACGACGTAAAAATGTACAGATTTCTAAGATAAACGGAAAGAAGAAATCTGAAATATCCTGGCTTCTCTGCTTAAAGCTATGCCAGTAACAGCTGACAGTAACCTACTAGTGCTAAAGCTTCACTCATATGCATCACATAGATCCTTAGTGCAATTGTAAAAGAACCACAAGGTGTAGCCCGCATGAAACTAAACAGAAGAAAGACTATACCGGTCGTGAATTGTGTTACACGTGTTTACAGATCCAGGAAAGATACAGAATATTACGAAGCCTATTGTCCGGAAGTTTGTATTTTACTTGGTGGCCTAAGTCAGGAAGTCAAGCGGATCTAGCAAGGCCCGATGGCCAGAGTGTAGTCCGCGAGATACAATCAATACACCTGACGTATTTCAAAGCCACAGTGTACACCTTTTGTTCAATGCAAATGTGACGTTTGGAACACACTGGGGTGTTTCGTTTATAACAGGAGATTCTAAACAGCATTTTAAGCTGTTTAGCATTATCGTAGGAACACATGTAGAGGCTTATATGTTTTTTTTCTCCTATTTTCACTTTTTTACCTTCCATAGTAGAAAAATACTCTACCTCTTCCTTTGCAGCTCGCGTGCAAACCAATGAGATGGTCTCTACCCTCTCATTTCCTATCAAATGTTTTTACTTATTGTCCAAGTACAGGCTCATATCTGACACTCTCAACATAAAAAACGAAGCAACTTTTCATCTGTTTCTCCAATTCTGTTCTTCGTATTAACGCACAGTAGGACATTCTGAAGGACGTGAGGGCGCGACACACTAGAAAGTCATACTGCGACAGTGGCGCTGTTGCAGGTTGATTGAAATATCCATATCGGAGAAAGTACTGTAATCCCCTTCAATGCTGTTCACGATATTTAATGGGATGGGGTTATTATTATTTGAAGCAACACCTAGGATGTACCGCCCTTTTAACTGTGCAGAAGATTACAACGTTACTATTTTTATTTGACATTAGTAATATTGTTAAATCTATAAACTAATGTATGCTGTTTTAATACTTTGAAAAAGCACAATGCAGATTAGCAGGTACAAAATGCTACCCTCAGAGAATCGCTGTGGCCTTCTGTAGGTTGACTGTTTCAGAATGCAGTTAGTGTTGTGCGAACAAACTGATTATTGCTATGCCTACGTTGTGCAGGGGTATCATTGCATGAAGTATATAGTTGATTTGCTAAGTTGTATTGCAGTAAAAGAAACCCTGCAATCATCATTAAGCAGTAGAGTGCTCCAGCTGACCTCTGAGTCAACGCTTTCACTATCGTGTAGTTTTGATCGAGAATTTAAAACTTTCTTTTCTATTTTTGACTGCAGTTTTTTCGCTAAAATGTCTGACGACACCACCAAGAAACTGTGCGGTGTGACAGGTAATGCAACACTTTGTCTGACTTCGTTGATGTTGGTAAATTGAAGTGGTCTTGAACTGAAGAAGAGTAAGCATTTGTTCATATTCAGTATGTCTGATTCTCTTTATTTGAACAGTAAGCAAGGCAACATCTGACCAGAGGGTTACTTAAACTCATGTGTAAAATATAAAAACTTACACAACACCTTCAGCCAGAAAACTGTATTATTTCTCTGAAAAAATCTCAAAAGTAAACAGTCTCCTTTCATACTTCAGTTGTTTAGTCTAACCATTCTCAAAACATCATAGTGAGAGGTCTGTAGTTGTGTGACACTTTCAGAAATACTTTTATTGAATACTTGAGGTGTTATGTCAGTCTAGTATTTTCACGTTCTTTTTCACGTGAGTATTCTTTCCTAGATCTGGTGCACAACCTGTGTGTATCTGAAAAGTGAAATTATTATCATAACGATGTAGCTGTGTTTACAGCTCAGTTTGATGTTTGTTCAGTACTTGATTCCTAGTATGAACCATGGCACCATTGTATATCCGCCGTGTTCGATTTTTAGAAGATCATTCGCTGTACGTGATCTTAGGAGCTCGTAATGCCTGTTCCAATGCAGTCATGGCAAACAAAAAGGGGTGTTTTGTGTGAACACATTTTGCCACTACTAAACAAAAGTAAGAAAGGTTATGACATCGCGTTGAATTCCGTGAGAACAACTTTATTCCGTTCTTTTTATTTGTTTTACCGGTATATGAAGCTCAACATTTGCCACTAAAGAAACCATGAATAGGAACTTAGGCACATCAGTAGACCTTGATTAAGAAAAATGTATGAAAATTGTAGTGTGCAAAATTTACAACCATACCGCAATATAAACACTATAAATTCATATTAAAGCAGCATTCGTTTATTCAATGCACAATTTAACGTAAGCAAAATGCATCACATACATGCATTATGCATTAACATTATTAATTAACATTAACTAACAGCCAATTTTCTGCACATCTTCAATAATGAACCATTGTACCTATGAATATACGGTTCTATATGAAAACCGATTAGATCAGACGGTTACAGGTAAACTGAAAGACGCCCAGACTAGATACGTGCTTAAGGTGTGGCAAGGTAATGATTTCAGTTTCTTCTTTGTTATATTTCATTGTTTTTTGTTACCTTTTCAGCATTGAATTATTAACGGCTTTGGTCTTTCGTGTTTAGGCATTTTATTAGTTATAACTATTTTGTCTGTTTATTAAAATATCATTTCGAAGCATTGGCCTGAAAGCCAACCTTTATTGGGGTGCTTTACGGGGATACCAGATCTCATTATGCGTGGCACTTTGGTGTGGCACATATCACCTCCCACTGCGAGATAATCAGCTTAAAGGAAAATGGGCTCTTGGCGCTAAAACGAGGTGGCAACAAGCAAACATCAAAGACGATTTGCAAAAAAACGGGCTTGCACCTTTCTGAAGTAGGTTAATGACACCGTGTGATGTTTGTTGTAGGAAGTCATGAATAATAAAACTTCTTTCAAGGGTATGTGGACGCCAAATGTTGTAGTTTTGAATGTGAGGAGACCACGTTTTTATGAAGATCGTAATAAGATTAAAAACAACTCCGTCTCTCAAAACATCACAAGCAGTAAATCAGTGTAGGTCTAGTCTGGATAAACTCCAAAAATCCCTAAAAATGAGCTACAATTAAGAATGTGAATACATATCGTAATGTTACTTTGTAAACAAACATTTATTCATGTGAAATAAAAGTCTTACAGTTTTATTTAAGCAGGCCCAGTGTGTGCGTTAATCATTAGTACCATATAGCTAAAAGAAGGTTTAATCTTCATCCCTGTAAACAGCAATATGTATGCATGTATATTTGGTGAATGATCTTTATTGTAGGCAATTCAATTATGAATTAAAAGAACTTCATTGAAAAGAAATGAGTTTATTAATATCGTGTTAAGGTTTAAATTACAAGTATGAAGGAAGAGGAAACATTCACACTATATTAATTGTACACAAATCTAAATGCCAGGTGTTATCGTTAATTAATAATTTAAAAGTTAATAGAATAAATAAAATAACAGCCTTCTACAATGCAGGCTACGTGAGAGTTTACTTCAGCTGGAAGTAACCAGGTCTTTAGTACACCTACTGGAACAGTACAGCCCCACACGTGATTTTGAGAAGCATATCTATAAGATACATATAACAAATGTCTACGTGTAGATCAACAAGCGTTCGAGATTCCAGTGTTTTACCACGGCCTCCACATGTCTAGTGAAGCCATGTAGTGATTGCGCAAGCGACGGTTCTCCTGCGGGCTGCGCGCTCTCTGCTGGGAGCAGGCGGAGAGCTCCCGGCTCTCTTTCTGCGTGTGTCCCGGGACCGGCGCAGCGCGGTGGCCCTCGCTCAGCGGTGCGGGCGAGGGAGACGATGGGCTAAGCGGTCTTGGAGCTGACTGGACCTCCGCGGTGGAACGCGGCAACGACTTAAGCAGGTGATTAAGCAGGCGAGACCCCAGTGTCTTGTCCATCCACTCGCAAGTTAGCAGCAGGTTGTGAACTTCGTGCATGCACTGAATGTATCCAGTGCTGTACTTCTGCTGAGCTTCCAGTCCCATTGAAGAATCGGCTGTAAAAACACAACAAATTCATTAAAACTTGTTTGGAGGCGACCCCTTGTGGTTAAAGAAACATGGTGGCGTTCAGAAGAGACCGTTCTGCCTAGATTCCCGCCTGTGCAGTGAAGCTCTTGTTTGTCGCTCCAGTATTTTAAAAATATAAACTCACAATGATGTTAGTCAGCGACGTACATACTATAAAGTCTTACACAGGACTAAAAAGAACGTTTATCCCAGACAGATGTGGACTGGCAAAGACAGATTGAGTGAATTCGCATTATTTAGACCTTTCGATAGTTTCCGTATAGAACGGAACTGTTTGTGGTTTGATTGGGCGTAAATATCGTAGACTGAATGGTTCCATAAAAGCTTAAGTCCAACTGGGATTTTGGAGCGCCAGAGCAGGGCAGCCTCGTCCAGCGGCGAGCACTGCCCTCTAGCGGTCGGAAACGAACCCACACTCTCACACTGGCTGGAATCTCACACTGGCAGCTTGTTCCCCTTTCCCCACAAAAACAAAATCTCATCCGTAGTGCCTCACATTTACTGCATTTATACCAGAAAGGATGAGCAGAACGCACTAACCCACAGTACAGTCTGAACCCCACTTACCGGAGAATTTATTACTTTGTATGTTTTGAAGGTGTTTTACTGTCATTTCAAGAATGTCGGCCTTTTCCAGCTTTGATTGCTGCAAAACAGAATTTATATATATTAAGTATCTCCGTACCAATGCTGTACGGTTGTTGTTTTTTTTTAAATTAACATACCAAGATCGTAAAAACTTACATCCAGCCGAAAGGCGCCAACAACAGTTTCTTTCAGTTGATCCAAGCAATTGTTGATTCTTTCGCGTCTTTTTCTCTCAATCAAAGGCTTTCTCAGCTAGAACAGAAAAACAAACACGGGTATATAATTAAAATAAATCCCCAAGATGCTCATATTAAACGCAGAATCCTATGCTGCCGACTGAATTCTTTCCTGATTTCCCTCAGCCCTACCTTCCTCTCTGCTTTAGCACTGGAAAGCTTTTCCACGTTGTGTGCCATCGTGGTGGCAGCCATGTCCTTCGGGCGTGCGATCTTTCTGTTTTGAAAACTGGAGTATCTTTGAGGCCTCCGCGCTCCGGAGTCCCTCTATTTATACAGATCTATTAGCATGTGAAAGAGAGCGCTCCTTGGCTGCGTTATTTTCCCACACAAGGGGGCGATCCCAGAGGCTCCCTCCCATCAATCAAGCCCGACAGGTCACTGCTTCTTTTCAATAGCGAACTTGCCCGCCCAAAAGAAGCGACAGATGTCCAGCCTAGAAACCTGCACCCCAGCGAAACTCTCTTCTCCCTTAAAGCAGGTCACATGGAGGCTCGGATGCGAAGGGTGACGTTCCCAGGGAGAAACAAGAGTCTGCTATTACTTCTGTTACACCTGGGACATTAAGGGTTTTGTATTCGAATGAACTGAGACGACAATACCTGAAAAAGGCAAAACCTAACCCTTGTAGTGGTACTTAATATCCCCTCATGTCCATCATTTAACACCCTATGTTGCCCATTTGTAGGCCATGGAAAATGAGGGTAGGGTTGCTTTTTTTTTTTACAGTGGCAGATGATGGGTCAATAAGTTCAGTGGCTCCGAGGGCTGCTGTGCTTATTTGGATAAATTCTCAAATGAGTCTAACGGAGAACTCAAAAGAGGTGCTCGTCACACTGAAGGGTATGAACTAATGCGAGTATCAAAGACAGGGACAGCCTAAAAAATGCACTTGCTTTTTGTGACGTAAGAGGTGTCATAAACCTCGTTTCTCGTCAAAAAGCCCCGAACAGACATGACCTCATTTAGTCCCCAATAACATCTCGTTCCAGGTGCGCGTATCCCACGTGTGATAAACAAAAATGAGTTCAGCGAGTTCTTGAAACGCCGGCCATCCTCGCTTAAAAGAACATTTTTTTAAGATGCATTGTCCTGACAATTAAAATGTTTAGATTAGGACAGAATGAAAGGTTATCGTCGGTTTACATTTTGTTTTGCAAACCTAATGTAACTACGCTGTCCGGATTCCTTTGTACAACTGTTTAAACTCTGTGTATAGGTGATACATCAGTAGTATACTTAAATTGTTTTCCTTTAGTCGAATTTGAAAGATACCATTTTTGGGTACAGGTTTATGTTTTAATTTTAACAATATTTAAAATTTGCAGCAATATGCAGGTTTACGTGATAATATTTAATTTGCCAAAAACGGAAACAGAAAACGATACAAATTCGGATACCACACCTCATTACTAAAGATGACTTTGAATAATTACAAAAATAGACTACAGAGGATTAAAACCCCGGTACAACGGTATTAGCTTAGAAAATAATAATAATATTATTATTATTAATAATAATAATAATAATAATGGATTCTTAAATTGGGTCTTTTTACGAAAAAAAGAAGATATTTTTAGTAAACATTCTGCTTTTTATTTGTGCTGCGAAAACGTGAAACGTGGCTGGGATCACCACAAAGAAGCAGGTTGGGGAGAAAGCACGGCAGATGTCGGTATATGAGCTGTCGGCAGATGTCCTTCTTAAAAAATAGTTTCTTTTGGAATTCATGGCAACAGCTCTGTTTGACTTAAGACACGCGACTGCCAGGCGAATCCTGGAACGTGGGAAACTCCGCGGAACAATGGCCTATATTCACTCAAATCTAATAACCGTGAAGAATTGAATGACCCCGCGGAGCAGTGGACAGCAAGCTCAGAGGCTCTCTTGGAGCTCTCCACACCCGCTAGGACGGAAGGGGGTTTCGCGAGTCGTGAGAGGCAGGTGCAGGTAACCGCAATCCGTGCTCTGGGCAGCGACAGGTGCTGCGGCCATTACAATGCTAGCCCATGTGGCAGAGGCTCTATTCAGGAAGCACGCCGCATTCCTCTGCAATTAGACGGCTCGATTGTTCTTTATAGGATAAAGTAACGCAGAATTTCACATTTCACCCCCCGAAAAAAAAAACCCGTACACCCCACCCTTCCTTCTCACGCTTCAAAGATTTGCAACAGCTTTGCTACAGGAAAATACACTGAAGAGCCAGCCCTGTCTGAACCAGAGTATACTCGAAACATATGTCGTTGAAGGCGCCGCATTTTCCTGTTTCTGATATTTGCCCAGCTTGTTCTTATGGGACCTGAAATGCCTTAATTACACGATACCCAAAACAGCGAATACGACGCCCACTTTACTCCTTGAAAACGCGGTCCATTAGGGGAGCTAATTGTTTTACAGACGAGTTAATTACTGTTTTGTTCTCTTCCTATTCTAACAACATGCACCTTGTGAATGCCGCACGAGCACCCCCACCGAAGTTTTGCGGTGGGCTTTAATGGAGCCGCTTCGATTGCTGTGTGATTTAGCAGTTAGTTGTGAGTAGTAAAATGCACCTATTTTACTGACCTAAAGTTTTGCTACAGATCACAGACCTAAGCAGGAACCCGCGATATTACAACATGCGACATAAAGTCAGTTTATATTTAATGCTTCGACATACTAACACCGTCAAAAGAAATCAAGCCAACTATGCTTGAATTGACTGTATAAGAATATACAAAATTATGTTTTTGACGAGAATGACCGCTGATATGATGGAATTAACGACAGTTTCACAAATAATTATGCCCCGATAGATATATATATATGGTTTTAAAAAGTTAAAAAGCTGATCTGTAAAGAAATCGGCATCCTAAATTCCCGAATGACACGTGCTTGTTAAGTAGGCAAGAAGGCACGTGCTGTATTTATTTTTTTTGGAACGGTCCAAATTACACGGAGCAGCGAGACACAAATGGCGGGTTTGGCGACACAGAGAGCACTGGACGGCAGGCAGGTGGCGGACGTCACGTGCTTCGCTTTTGTTGGAGAAACCGTCGCGGCTTTCCAAAATACCTGTAAATCACGATTCGTAAAAGAGAAAAGACAACTCATTTTTTTTTTTCGAGAGCACCCTCTGGTGATGTATTAAGTCCAAGGAGAAGAGGTTGATTTGCAGCACTAAAAAGGACTTAACAGGGATTGAAAAGCATGCCAACTGAGGGAGGCGGATAGCACAATGAACAGCTAGACATCTGGCCACGCGACTCGCACGCAGTCAGATCCAGAAAGCGTCCTGCAGAACAATTGGGATACATTCCTGCTTTGTCCCCAGTCGAGCCCCACAGAAGCGGAAAAGCAAAGTTTCAGACGGGCTAATGAGAGGCATCTCCCCTACATTCTGAACGTTGGTTCATTTACGCATGAAATATAAAGTGCCTATATGTTGTATTTGCACGGTAGTTAGGCTAATCCTGCTATGAATATGGGTTTTAACATTACTTTACTAACCCTTTACAATTTCTTGCATTAGGAATCTGTCTTTTCGCATACCCCAGCTTGCTCTCCATGCGACACTAACAGGGAGAGAAGCTTGGGGTCAGAGCTTGTACAGCACCCCTGGAGCAGTTGGGGTTCAGGGCCTTGCTCAAGGGCCCAACAGAGTAGGATTTCTCTGCTAGCTGTGGGATTTGAACCGGCAACTTTACAGCTACAGGCGCAGATCCTTAACCACAGAGCCACACTTTTCTAGTTTGAGTATAGCTATTAACGTTAAATCCTGATAGTAGTTGAGAACTTTCGCTTCAAAGTGATCCTTTTCAGGGTTTTTTTTTAAATAATGAACGAACAGTATTCTTAAATCCTGATTTATGCTTCATTCACGCTGGATATGTTTTACCAACCAATATAAAATATTTTTAGATTACAGGCAGATTTAGGGACAGGGGTAGTGGTCAGGAGTACGGTTTGAGCTAAGGATAGAAATGTTAAATATACTCAAAGCGGCCGAGTACTTATAAGCTGTCTTACGTAGCAAAGCACCACGATACTTGCGCAAAAAAAACATACTTTTGAACAATAATTCAAGAAGAATGAGGGCAGTGTACAGTATTTGACAAGTTTAACGAAAAGCATTTTAAGGAGCAACACAAGCGCAAATAATGTGACCCATTTACCCCCTTTTAAAAAGGCAATTCAAACGCCCTTTCGTATTACAACGGTGCCTAATTGACTTGTAGCCCTCATTAGCAATAAAACAAGAAGAATTTCAGCATCTTAAAAAAAAGTAGTTTAAGGAGCTAATAAATGTCTATTGATTTCACACAGTAATGGTCCACGATAGATTGTGGTTTCGGGTCATATTTTAAGACGAGAAGTTAATATATATTTCAGAAGACCTGCAGAATACTCCTCGAAGTTCCGTTCAACCCCTGATCAGCCGGATTATTCCTCAAGGCCATGTCAGGACAGGCCTGGTCAATCCTGCTTCTGTCGAGCTACAGTCTAGAGGTCTGTATAGGTCACTCTTAACCCCTGAAGAGACTCGGTGCACGCTCATTGACCACTTCAGCAGTCAAATTGTTCCATTAAGATGTTCCTTGGAAAAAATAAATAGCAATAGCTCAAATATTGCAAATAACTATTCCCGACTTAACTGAACTGATTTACTTACTGCAAATGAAACAAAACGTGGAACCCATGTTCCAGGTCTACAGATTGATGATAGACGGGTGTCCAGCAAGATCTGCTGGACTCTAGATCTCCAACTAGAAGAAATCCAGAAACTGGATGGCATGGTGGTGCAGTAGTCAGCATTGCTACCTCGCAGAGCTGAGGTCCAGGGTTCAGTCTGCGTGGAGTTTGTATGTTCTCACTTTGTTCATGTGGGTTTCCACCAGACTAAAGGCATTTTTTATCAATAACATCACTTTATTAACCCTTAAAAGATCATTAGGAATGATCTTTTCGCATACCCCAGCTTGCTCTCCATGAGACACACAGACAGGGAGAGAAGCTTGGGGTCAGAGTGCAGGGTCAGCCATTGTACAGCACCCCTGGAGCAGTTGGGGTGAAGGGCCTTGCTCAGGAGCCCAGCAGAGTAGGATTCCTCTGGCGGCTGTGGGATTTGAACCAGCAACCTTCCAGCTGCAGGCACAGAGCCACCGCTCAACCAGGCATGCTGGTAGGTTCATTTGCTTGTAGGAAGACTGACCCTAGTGGTGTTAATGTGTGGCTGTGTGTGCCTCGTGTTGGACTGGCATCCCATCCAGGGTCTATCCTGACTCGAGCCTGTTGCTTACAGGGATAGGCTCCGGCTCTCCTACGATCCTATATTGGATGAAGTAGATAGAAAATGTGAGGATGAATAGGAAATTCAGAAACCTTCTGGCCACCCAGGACAGAACTTGCGCACCACTGAGAACTTGGGAGAAGAATAATTACGCGTTACAGAAGAGCGATCCCCGACTGAACAGCATAGGCGGATCTGTGTCGAAGCAGCAGGCATTCAAGTCAAAACATCGTTTTTGTTTTATACAAAGTCTGCGACAGGAAGCTGAGGATTGTGGACACTTCTTTACCATCTGGCCACGCGTCTTCATACCTACGAATTCGCTTGGGAATGGCGGAGCAACAATGTGCCTCTCCGCCCACCGTTTCTTTCAGATCCGTGCCCTGTCCACCTCTGGGTTACTAATCGGGTTGGACGTAATCGTCACGCTGGGTTGTTTTTTTCTGTCTTGCCGACTCTAGGTTCAGTTTCAGTTAATTAATCCCTGACATGGTAAACACAGTTCAGGGCGATGCGCTGTACCGTGGCGCTGACAGCCAGTCAGGAGGTCCGCGCTGAGGCAGTGGGGGGAGAGAAACTGCACAGGCGGTTCGGGGAAGATGATCTAGACATGAATTTCTAGACTAAAAGCTAAGAAATATGTGTATTTGTTGTTTCAATGTGTCCATGGATGTGCACTGTATGGTAGAGGGAGAAAAAGAAATACGTTTTTGTTTTCCAAAAAAATATTACATGTTTACAAATATGTTGAGCATGATAGAAAAATGTTGTCTAGTGAAATTGATAAAATTGTAATTTCAAAATCGTAATGCATCGTTACTGTTGAGTCTATTACATGAATACTTTCTCATTTAAAAATTCAAAGACTGGGAAAATGTTAACTTAGTCGCTGAACCCACAGAAATTACTGTATATTTCAGGGATGGCCATCTCCTGTCCACAAAATTCAACAGATTTTACAGGTCTCGGTCTCCAGTTTCTTAAGAACAAGGAACGGCTTCACATTGTCCGATGAGGGAAATAACGAGTTCATCGAGGCCATTAAGAGTTTAGGCAGAAACAAATCCAGAAGCTTTTTGGTCTTTCAAAACTTGTGCACCTCTGGGGTACCTGGTTCACATATAGCAAGGCTCTAGTACCCTGAACCTGTGGACGCCCAAATTCAGCAAATTTTATATGTCAGCATTAAACTACTAATATCTAAAGAGTTGAAACTCTGAGATTAATTAAAGAGGTGTTTTTATATATTGCGGAATCTCTCATTTATTTGAAACAAACTATGAGTTCCCTTCAGTCCTGTGGTCTCTTAGCTAAATGGATCACTTGCTGAATTCATCATGTTGTTCTCAATTTTTAGAAACAGGTGGTCTCCTGACCGATCATTCCAAACTATGACTCATAATAAATTCAATTGTAACGATTCTGTTGGATTACAATTATCGCCCAAATATTATTGGATATTTGGAATTATAATGGATTCCAAATATACCGAAAATGTCTTCAAACAGTGTATAAAACTGTTAGGTTATTTTACTCAGATTACACATCATATAAAACTCAAATACCGTACGTTAAACGCACACATTATAAAAAACAAGAATTAAACATTTAAGATAGGCCCAGTTCATTTCCTGCTTCTATGCTCCCTTTTCAATAAGATAAATTCAGAGTTCGAGCGCCATCTTGTGTGTAGATACGGCATTGTAGTTGAACAAAATAGGTGTCAGTGGTGATTTTTGGGACAATTAAGTCTCAATATTAGTGCTAGTCCAAGGCCTAACTCTACATTTAAACCTAACTCTAACTATAGCCCCCAAAAATCCCACAAACCCACAATGAAAGCCCTGATATGAACCAAGCTTACTGCTGAGTCTAGATGAGGCAACATTAATCTCTGAGCTAACCCAGAAGCTGGTATGCAGGGGAGAAGGAGTACTGTAGAGCCCACTGTAGAGTCAACCTGCTCAGAGCTAACACTCACCCTCAGAGCCCCAGAAAAAACACAAGCAGGAAGTCAAAAGGAGATAAGATCGAAGAGTCCCACAAGAAAAAAGGGTCTCCCCACATTCCCTTTCCTAACCGCACCCTGAACCCCAATTCCACCCACACACTTGGGAGGACTCAGCCCCAGAGGAAAAGAACTGGCCTGACCAGTGCAGAAGGAGCCTTCAAACCACAGTGCCACAGAGGCACACAGAACCCGACAAACAGGAACCTATAAGAAATGGGTTCCAAAGGTTGGCACAGAATTCCCGATGGGATTAAATGTAAGGACATCACAGGAACGCACACATAAAACATGTCAAAAGGGGAAAACGAAAAGGACTCCTAAATTTACAACTGAGATTGGAAGGCCAGTGCTCCTCTCCTTCCCAGTGAGAACCCCAAAATTACAACTGGGCAATTTTCTCAAGGAAATGAAGTGATTCTTTCTCAAAACCTAATGCCAAATCTATCTTTTTCCTTAACCCTTAGTCTAATTTTAACTTTCTGGGGAACCTCAGTCATGACCATAAGCTAAACCCTTACCATAGCTTTAACCCTACCTAAAACCCTAGAAATAGACACAGTCAAAGCACCTATCCAAGGTTAAGTCGTAACTCTAGTGTTAGTTCTATTTGGAATCTTTACTCTGGTAATTAAGATTGTATAAATTACACATTATATACTTACATTATATACACCTTAACTGCTAATGTGAAAAAAAATATTTCAAGGCAGAAGAATTTAAATGTTTTGCTGGCCAACCACAAGATTTAAAATATTTTTTTCCCAGATACTGTAAATCAATAGAGGCTCACTGACATGGTCAAATGCTATCAGATCCAGTGATCTGCCTGGCTTATTCTTCTCCATCTCTGCATTGTATGGGTATTAGAACCAAGGCAGCAGCAGCCTAGAGAAAGCTGATGTACTTTGCAGAAGATAAATGGTTCCACAGGCCACCAGCTTCAGGTTTTCACTGGCCTTCCCCTTTCTGACACACAAACTAGCTTTCACGTGGCCCAAAGAAGACATATCAGGGCTCCACCACTACTCGATTCAATTCAGTTCACTTCAAGGTGCTTTATTAGCATGACCGATGGGTACAATCAGTGTTGCCAAAGCACATAATACAATTACCGTGAAACAAAATAAAAATAAAATAAAATCTACAGACATATTACAGACATTAAACAACAAATGACATATCAGAAAATATTTACATAAACTGTAAACATATTGAGCATTATTGGGAGACAGGCCCTCTGTTTCTCGGGCTTCTGAGAGGTGTGAAATGTTGGAGTTGTCTGACTAGATGCCACATTCCTGAAGGCCAGGGCACCTGATAGCATCTGTGCTGTCCCACACAGTTTGTGACTTTGTGACTTTGTGATTAAAGGGGGGTGGGGTTTTATATCTCACTGCTCTTCTAATTGTACCTTGTTCCTGTGAATAACACCATTTGTAGCTACTCATCATGTTTTGCTACTGGTCTTTACAGCTCTACCGATCCACTCTGTTGGCTTAATGTACACAAGGTATATGTCGCTGTCCCCATACTTCTCTGAAACTGAAATCATCACCTAGTTAAAAATTCACATGGGAATACAGAATCCCTTAAAAATGTCCCATTGGCCTAAAGTAATTTTCCCTCTCTTGTCAGCCACCTTATCACGGTGGTTTATTTAACTACACAAAGTTTCTTTGGCCTGTGATATTTCTCATTTCTAGCTGGTTGTATGCTAATTACTTGACTGTAGGGCCTCATTTGCTTCTCATACAATATAGTTCTGTCATGTCTCTTTACATACTGTATACTGTATGTAACATGGTTCGATTAACTCTTGTTTGGGAATACGCCGATAGGGTAAAAAAAAAAAACTATCGTTGATCATTGGTTTTGTTGTGCTTGTTCTCTAAAAATACATTTCCACCCCAATCCCGTTCTGTCTGGTCTTGCTGTACGGAATAAAGTACAAAAGCCTTGGGAAGTGACGTATCTTAAGTTTCCTATGAAAAACAAAAATGCAAAAAAAATTTAAACAAATGTATTCAACGTATGAAGAATTTACAAATACAACCAGAGGATCAGAAACAGGTACAAGAGAAAAAAACACAAACAGAAAAAAAAAACAATGAACTGCCGGAGGTAAAGTAAATTATGTGATCAAATGGTATTTTTTACATATATCAAATGTTTTCTTGCTTCAGCCTTTTTTTATCGAATTTAGTGTTTCAACTCCACCTCAAAAGTACTAAAAAGGGGAGTATTATTAGACCGTTTTGATTTATGAATGTGAAATTCACCCAGAATGACCAATACATTTACTGTACATAAATGCTCTTTTTCGAAATTTCCTATTAAACAGTTCAATAAAATATCGAAATCCTCAACTGCCTGCAAACAATAAAGGTTTGCTGGACTGGGTCATACTGGCATTCGTAGTACTCGAGGAATGAGGAAACATTTCGACTAGAGACTGGCGGCGCAGACCCCACGGTGGCTGCGCAGTGTTGTTGCTATGACACTGGCGGGCGGGCGATGGCAGCAGAGAGCGGCCTTTTCGGTATCACAGCGGAAATAGAAACAGCACCGCACTGAGAATTCGCACAGTTACATCCAGCTGCAGGGAGAACTAGGAAATAAACTAAAAGTATAATCACGGAGGGGCAGTAAATTAAGGAAAACCGGGCGGTATCAACCCCTGCCATTCTCCTCACTTGCTTCTGCGATTCCAAAACACTCGGAGACCAAGGAAGACGGGTCGTGTTTGCAAGGTTTGTTGCAGAGTAATATTTACTATCTCATGCAAACAGCGAAGTTTTTTCCCCCCCTCTCTCTCTCTCTCTCGTCTTGCAGGCCTGTCAGTGTGCTCTTTTAGGCGAGAAAAGAGGAAAATTGTGTGGTGTAAAAAGAAAAACAGCGCAGCGGGTCTATGTCCGTGAGTCCTCACTTTGGAGAATAAACTGGTTTGTGTTCGCATCATTTAGATGGAAAAAGTAACAGTCTGTAGTTGTGCTGTCTTTGTGCGGAGATTTAAACAAGCAGAGCATTTTTTTTTCTTAAGGCCCGGTTGCTTGAGGCCTGCTGGTCAGATTGGATCCAGCACACGGTGCAGTGTGCACTGCTGGGACTTTCCTGTGTTGTGATTGATGTATTCATATAAGTTAACGATTCTGGGCGATGCAATACCAAATGGCTGTTTTTCTTACAGTTGCGAATTTGCAAATCAGCTGTTGGAGTGAAATAAACCACAGCAAACCGATAACAGAGTATCAGCTACTGCTGTTTAGAGACGACTGTCACATCTTGTCTCCAATTTCTGTTTTGTGTGTTTTTTTTTTTCCTGCTAGGGTGCAACAACTTAGCGTTGAAGGTGTATATTTCTGTTTTTCCCTAAAATGACTACCGAGCACGATTGGTAAGCCTGGTACATACTGCGCACATGCAGCACATAGCTCCTTCATTACCTATGTAGCCTTCGTATGTATTCATTTCCTTTAGTGTTTTTTATTTATTATATGCGTACGTGGTCATCTTTTGATTACCACCTTCCGCTGTGATTTGTAATTGTCTAGGGCTGGACGAAAACTCAGTGCCATATTTGTCAAATTACCTGCCACCGTCTGAAAACTGAACGCGTAACATATTGCTTTTGAGCTTGAAGTTGAGGTTGTGCAACGCTATGAAGCAAAAGGGTGTAACAGGCAAGGAAAATGTAGCGATCTGCGTAAACCAAACACTCGTGGTTCAAAGTTCAGGCCGTGGTGTAGGAATAATTGGTTTAGCAAGCTAAATTCGACTTTCTGTCCGTCTTGCCTATTGGTAGCAGTAAATGAGGTGCCGTATGTTTTGTATTCAAAGGCAAAATGAAGTCATGCTATTTATACAACGTGGAATGTCGTTTAAACGATTAAAATAAATGGTGTGTCATTTTAGACATCCTGCTTTCAAGTCTTATCTAAATACCACTCTAGAACGAAAACCTATCAAGGCTTGATTTTAATGAGCTTATGTGGTACAGTCATTTGAAATGCATATAACAAAGATTAATGTGTTATCTTATTGAAGCAGTCATTAGTCTTTCTATTTGTTTATGCCATTTCCATAACTTGTTCCTGTATGATTTTGTGCTACACTTGAAATGTAATTGTGGTTGTCCCCCTTTACATATTATAGAGTGACTAATTGAGCTCAATGATAAGAGGTTTCTTGTTGTTCTGCTGTTGTGGTATTTATGGGTTTAATAACCTTTGAGCAAAACCACACTTATAATTATTCCGTTTTGTAAATGTCAGCTCATACAAAAATAACAAAATGCACAGAACTTGTAAACTAAAATGGGAGCTCGTATAGCTTTTGACTCAAGACATTTTTGATTGTGTTGACTGAGGCGTTGAAGCAGAAGAGATTATCTTGAAATAAATGACCTCCATCTGTAAGGATAAAGGCAAAATATCCAGTGAGAGATTTGATGTTATAACAGATTAATTTGTTGAAATAGAAGACCAAAGTGATTACATTATGCCATATGTATGACCAACATCCTGTCACACGCCTATAGATTGTACACATTAAGCCTAAGCTTTTTATGTAAAAGAAGCCAAGCTAGCTGTGTATACATTCAGAAATATGATGCAAAAATGTTGTATTGGGTATTAATCTAAAGATAATTGGACCTTTATGAAGTACACAGGAATGATGCTGCACACATTTGTGGATGCTTTATATTTTGCTAAGGCACTGTGATTATAATCATGAGCATTAGTTATACTTTTCTATTTGCTATTAGATGTTATAGAGGAATCGCATCTTTTCAATAGATAAAAACATGTCACAAGAGTTCCTTTAAATACGAACATTACAAATGGTAAAAATAAAATGAAGCCCATATAAGTTAAATGCTCAGTTAATATCAAGGTTGTCAACCTTGATATACAACTGTCCAGCAGGTCTTATGGGTCATCCTTATATCAGCTGTTTCTAAATGCTTGGAATAATTGTGCTGGCCACTTAAGCAGGTGATTTATTTAATTAAGTAATTTGCAGATCTGTTAAACACTACTGGGTGTTGCTATTTTGAGTTCCACAGTTGGCCATTCCTGGTTTAATTGTCTCAACATTTTTACAGTAGGAATGTACAATTCTGTGTGTACTGACTTTCAGCATATAGTTGGAGGCTACAGTAAAGAAGTGGTCTTGTGCATTTTGGAAAACCAGTCTCTATCACCACCTCTGTGAAACTTGCATGACATGATTCAGCTTGTGTATAAGCATGCAAAAATTTAGTTAAAATAGCCACTGGACCTATCATGAGTTTATCTTTTAAGCAGTTTTGTTTTGCTAGCCTAAAAATGGTATGTTATTTTTCCAAAACATACAACTTAATTCTAATTGCTGCCTGTCCTTATCCAGAAAATAGCCTCATTATAATGCTCATAGTAATATGTTTTAAAGCAGGACCTGTAGGGGTTCAGTGAAAACAATGGAGAATCAATTCCCAGCTACAGAATGCCTTTTGGGTGCTGAATTGATTGTTGTTTATCTTTAACTTCATACAGCTTGCACAGCTATGAGTTTAAAGAACATTAAAGATTATAAGATTTTGTCATCTGTTTTATCTCGTTAAAAGATTCACAATATATTCTATATTCCCAGAAGACTGAACAGTTGGTTAACAGTTTGCCACTAAAGCTTACAAGATTAATCATATACAATAACATTATTATAAGTGTGATTGGTTGCATTTGTAAATGTGTGAGCCTTTGATACTGCTGGTCAATACAAAAATTGCACAGTGAGAGAATTCTGGGCAAAATCTTTTTAAACAAATGTTGAATATCCTTGCATTTACATCTTTAATAGTAGATCCAGTACTGCATTATCTAAAGAATGCAGTTTGGTTAATTATTTTGTAAGTACATGTTGCTCTTGTAGATAAGGAATTACTTTTAGAAAGTACTCAGATTAAAAGGAAGTATTTTTTGGGAACCTATTGGAAGACATTTTACCTGTTTTCTACTGTGGTCTGTTTTTGCACTAAGTTGTGTTTGAGGCCCATCACACTGGGTTCGAGTAGTTTTTTGTTTTTTATGTTCAAAAAGCAGTATGAATAAAATGCAGTTTTTCTACAAAGTATTCCATAAATGCATAATTGCATGCTTGAGGAAATTCTTGTCTTTGGTAATGCATTCCTGTGTTACTTAAAACCATCCATGCATAATATGAAACCAACCCTTTTATGGCTGGTAAAGGACTTGACAATTGGGGGTTTATTCTAGAAACATAGGGCACCTATGGTGCGTTTTTGTCCCAGGTGTTACATCCACATTGGAATAACTTATAGAGTCAACAGAAAACCTAGGCAGCATGTTTGGGGACAGTGAGAGGACATGAGCATCTGTCCAAAACTCCTACAAACCTAAAAAGTATATGCAAACTCTAAACAGTAGGTAACCCAGCCTAGAACAGAATCCAGGTTTTTACCACCACTCCACTATGTTGACTGCTACTCAAAATAAGTTTTGGTAATTTCAGTACAGTATATTTATGCGCTTTTATGGGATTTGTACACTGAGGCATTCATACCCTGACTGACTATTTCAGACTCGCATTCATGAGAAAAGTTGGTGAGAGTATGAATCGAGTGACAGGCAGTCTTTAAGGGGATTGCTAAACAGACCCTTATGGAAGAGTAATAGGGAATGAAATCAGTATCAATTTGATGATGAGGATGAATGTGATGATACTATGTAGCCTGCTTGTAGAAGGTTCCTGGAATACAGGTCTGTTTTTCGGAGTGATTTTTAAAGCTGTCTCGATTCACAGAGAAGCATTAATTCACAGAGAACACAATAAGCATAAATCATGATTATTTACCTGATATTCCCAACTTGATGAGACTAGTTGATTGAAGTGCTTTCTGATATACAAACTGTCAAGCTATTTAAAGAATATATTGGAAGTCCAGGTTTTTAAAATATGATTGACTAACTTGTAGATTTGGGCAGTCACTGTATTGATTAATGAGCTGCTAACATCCACTGGGATACCCAGAGTAATCTCAGTGGAAGCATTCTGCTCTTATGTTGGGTCATTGTGAATACTTCACAACTTGTAATGATGTGGGAGTGAGTTCTATAAAACATCAGCTTAACATTTTTGATGTATTGGTCAGTCAACAGTCATTACATTTTGGACTGTGTAATTAAACCAAAGAAATGTTGACTTAAAGAATACCGGTTCTTTATATATTTTAATGAAAGTGTAGCCGAACCTTGTATAGATAATATTAATAATTATGAGCAGGCACATTTGCATTGTGAAGACAGAGATTAACCATATTTAGAAATTAATTTCAGTTCCCACCCCCTCTTGTCACTTGCAATAGTAAGATGATTTTTTAAAATGCTCTTGCATTCATCAAAGACATTATAGAATCGTAGAGGGGAGGTTTTATCACAGGTAAACTTCTCTGTTGAACAAGCCCTGGTTGTGTAAGAGGAACTGCTAGCACCAGCCATGTTGAAATATCAAATTAAAAGCACCCGTAAGCTGAAACATACAGTATAACTAAGCTTGCACTTGCCAGTATTTTTTTTAGAGTAAGTTTATTAGTGTTTTAAGATTATATAAGTGATGCATTCTGTCTCTGATGTTATCCAGGAAAGCACTAAGTTAGACTCATCTTATTTTACTGGATAAAATCTTATTAATGTTTTTCGAAATAAGTGATTTGGTAATTCTTTATTTTAAGGAGTGTTAGTCTTCCTTGTAGGCCATGTGTAGAGATTTCAAAAGGAATTTGAAAAGGTGGTGCAAGTGTGAAACAGTGCATCAAAAATGAGATTCGAGGCTTGTTTTTAAAGAAAAGTATAATTCTTTGTGATGCATGATATCATCCTGTATTATGAGTTTGTCATTTTGAAGTTCTCATGTTTCACAAGTCAGATATTCATATTTTGTTCAGATAATGTATGGTGTCCTCCAAGATTGTTTTTTCAAAATGCAATAATATTTGCACAGTTTGTTTACTTGCAGTATGTTTGCAGTGCTGCTATAATTATAGAACTCTGTTTTGCGGATGGAGTAAGGCATGAGGTTTCAATTGTAATGACCACCATGTGATGAGATGATTTATTAAAGCCCTGTTCTTCCTATATTAAGTAACTGATTACTAGTATGTTCTGTAACCCTTGGAATCCAAACCAGGAGCAGAGACTTGAGGGACAGAGTTCAACACCCACTCTTTAGTGCTTTGTAGAATCAGGCTATTTTGCAATGTAGCCTATACATCCTGAATTTAAAAAGTGGTGAAAAAATACTCATCTTCTATATTTAACAAAGATTTCATGTTATGAAACTGTTTAAGAAAAAATATATAGTCCTAGACTTAAAATCATTGTTTGAAAAATGAAAAGTATCGACAGTATTGGCTCTCATCAAAATGTCTCAAGTTGACTTGATTTATTACAATATAACTTTTGTGGAGGTTTTGCTATTGAGAAAGGCAGTTTACACAACAATAAGTAGAACTGTGTCCTGGCAACTGACCACAGCTGAACTCTTTAAATTGAGATTGAATGCACTAATGAAGAATAACATACGTTACATAACAGAACAGTACAAAATCTAATGTTTTAAGCCTGTGCTTACTAAAATGTTTTTTTTTAAAAAGTACACTATACAAACACCGTGGTGGTTAAACAAATTCTACTTTGTTTCTGAAATAAGACATATTCCTCAAAATATTAATAAGTTGAAGATGTTATTGTGCCATATAAAATGTTTTTTTTTGATAGAAAATCACTCATTTTCTGTGAGTGGAAGATACCACAACACAAGTTCATATTTGTTGAAAAAGCATTTGTGGTTGGCCTATTTTTTCCAATTAACTTTGCTAATTGATTAAAGTTCATAGTTTGAGATTTCACATATCAGGAAATAAAGCTAAATCCATCATGTTTCTTGTGTTTGAATAATACCTGTTTTATATAGTAAACATGTTCTTTCTGATAGAATATTTTTCATCCTTAACAATGACTGTTGTTTTTGATGCCGTCTTGCTTAACGTCTGTTTTATTGGGCTCCCATTTCCACAGGTGGACAGTGTGCTGTTAGTAGGACTCTGCTATCGACAGCCATGCCGTTCCCTTTTGGCAAGTCTCACAAGTCTCCCGCAGACATTGTGAAAAACTTGAAGGACAGTATGTCCGTTTTGGAAAAACAAGATATCTCGGACAAAAAGGCAGAAAAGGTACAGTCAAAACAGTGCCGTCTTACCTTGTGCATACCTTAAAAAGATTTTGCGAAATTAAGAAGTTTAACTGGTCTCCTCTAACTAGATAAATGAACCATTACATTCCGAAGACTGTCTTGAAGAATGTTAAATGAATGCAGCTGAACAGAATTCATTGTTCTTTTGAAGTCTGCAGTTTCAAACCCAGTCTTAAGTAAAAGGTGTATATAGTCACTGAAAATTCAGCTTTGAGGGTAGATGGACCCTATGTCTGATGAGTGTGTTTTTGATTGTATTCATACCAACAATTAGTGTAATTTTATGTATGCATTATAGATATGTCTAGATATGTTAATTTATCTAATTTGGTTACAAATAGTCCAAATCATTGGCATAGATCAGGAAGAGCTGTGGTCTTAAAGTGGATCCCGCAGTACACCATTGCTTACATCTGCCCGGTTAGATGCCCCTTAAGATGATTTGCTGTTTCCTGTTTGTTAATAATCCATGTGCATGCATTAATTTGAACTTCAGAGGTTTTCAATTAAAAAAATAAACATTTTATGAGGGAAGTTATCAGTAGCCTCATGGAATTTTAAATACGATATTTGTGTGCTTTATTGTTAAATGTTCATGTTTTTCCTTTGAATAATTTTAACAAGCTAATTCAACAAGATCTTCCCTTTCTAAATCTGTTGGGAGTTACACCATCAGTTACATCAGACTGCTACAGAACATGTTTTGAACTAGTTACATTTCAGCTGTACACCTAGAATCGGTTTCCCTTCTTTGCCTTTCAGTCCTTCTTGCGAGCGCTGATGTCTGATGTCTTCATAAAAAATATTGTCATTGCATGATTTTAAATCAAATTAAGTGAAAGCTATCCCTTTGTGCAAACTTAATTAAACAATCATGTGGAGAGCAGAATGAGGTCCATCAAGGTCAGTGTTTTGATGTAACTTCTTTTAACTTTCAAGAGGTCTACTTCTTAGAAAACAGTGGGAACAGTTCAGAGTTGAAAGCCAAACCTAGAATCCTAAAGGCCGCATGCAGTGTTGTGTGTCTTAAAAATACATTTCAGTGTTGTTTTTTTCTCTGTTAGCCAAATCTTTTAATTTTGTTTAGATCTAAATTCTGTTAGTATTTGATATCGTTACTTATCCAATTCTTTTTGTCGATTGTTTGTTTTTGTGATTAGGCAACAGAAGAGGTCTCAAAGAATCTTGTGGCTATGAAAGAAATCCTGTATGGCACAAATGAGAAGGAGCCTCAGACAGAAGCTGTGGCACAGCTTGCCCAGGAATTGTACAACAGCGGCCTTCTTAGCACTTTAATAGCAGATTTACAGCTCATCGACTTTGAGGTAAACTGCACTTAAAGAACTCCACATTTCCATGCCTTTTTGTTCATACTGCATGAGGGATCTCCTTAATAAGAAGTAGGACTTCTATATTAACATTAGCATATTATAATATTTCTAAAATTATGTCTAAGCATATTGAGGTATTCATTGTTTCATTATTGTCTGGTATGTTTTTATGCAGAATGTTTTAGTGACCATGAAATTGAAGAAAAGGAACAATGTTTTGGCTGTGGAGCCTTCTTCAGGTGACACCCGAAGTCTCCACAGCCGAAACGTGTTTCTTTTCTTCTCTTTTCAGCATGGAATGAACCTTTTTGTTCCTTTGCAGCCTATGCATGCTGACGCAGCTGCCCATTTTGAATAATGGATATTTGAATAATGCTACATTTTTACAAAGTAGTGTTTAAGTTAAAACTAAAGTTAAAGTTAAACAAATGTATTAATTGACTTCATGCCTAAACTTGTAAGTGCTATACATCAGATATTTTGTCAGAATTCCTTCTCTATTTGATGGAATTCAGGCTTTGAATGTTTTCATATGTTCTCTTCCCATTTCTATATTTTAACTCATGTGTCATTTCTGAGTAGATCTTTGTTTCTTACTTATTCCTTCCTCAGATGCATTGTAACCACATTTAGGCTTGGACAAATAGGGAAGCAGTTAAAATGTCAGTACCATTAAAATAAAGTACATGAAAGTATTTAGCAGCCATTTAATTTATTGCAGAATATTAAAAGTTATGTGCTAAAACTGTACTGCTTCTGCAACATTCAACTTGTGCCAGAAAAAATAAATTTCTTACAACTATGCCACTTACGGTTAACCACAGTTTTATTCATATTCTTCTCTTCTGTTTTATTTTTTTCTTAAAACAGGGTAAAAAAGATGTTGCTCAGATCTTCAACAACATTCTCAGAAGACAAATTGGTACAAGGACCCCTACAGTAGAATACATCTGTACCCAACAGAATATATTGTTCATGTTGTTAAAAGGGTGTGTTAAAACATCTTGTACTTTCACTTTTTAAAATAGTTTCCATTCTTTTAAAAGGAAAGACTGACAAGTTTCACATTTGTTCTGTTATTTGTGATTTGTAAAACCGAGGTCCTGACTCTCTGTGGTCATTAAAAATCCCAGGGCGTTTCTTGAAAAGAGTAGGGGTGTAACCCTGGTGTCCTGGCCAAATTTCCCATTGGCCCTTACCGATCATGGCCTCCTAATAATCCCCCTCTATGAATTGGCTTCATTACTCTGCTCTCCTCCCCACCGATAGCTGATGTGTGGTGAGCGTTCTGGCGCACTATGGCTGCCGTCGCATCATCCAGGTGGATACTGCACATTGGTGGTGGTGGTTGTGGAGGGGAGTCCCCATTACCTGTAAAGCAGAGTGGAGTATCCAGAAAAGCAATAATAATAATAATAATAATTATAATAATAATAATTATAATTATTATTATTATTATTATTATTATTATTATTATTATTATTATTATAAAATAAGCTTGACGTTTAATGACCGAGGCATTTTATCAACTAGTAGCTGCTGCAGTGTGGTGACCAGAACAGAGAATTCCAAATTACATCTTATTAATGCGTTGTATTTGTATAACATTATTTTCCTTGATTTATAAATTCTGTGTTCTTAATGATATTGCCAAGCATCTTGCTGTGTGTAGATGTTTTTCTTTTTTATCTTAATTTCATTTCCTGAGCTCTGCATTCATTTTTTACACAGGTATGAATCTCCTGAAATTGCTTTGAATTGTGGAATAATGCTAAGGGAGTGCATCAGACATGAACCATTGGCCAAAATCATCCTATGGTCTGAGCAGTTCTACGACTTCTTCAGATACGTTGAAATGTCAACATTTGATATTGCTTCAGATGCATTTGCCACTTTTAAAGTAAGAAAATGTTTCCTTTTCTATGACAAAGTAGTATTACATGACCACATTTAATACATTTCCTATTACGGTTTATGTACATTTACTATAGCAGTATGAGATAGGACGGCTGATTTTAGTCCTGTATTTGCTTATAGGATTTACTAACAAGACACAAGCTACTGAGTGCCGAGTTTCTGGAACAGCATTATGACAGAGTAAGTGGTTGTTTTTTATGTTCGTATTGCTTGCATAATATCGGAAGACACATTTTCTTCCATTTTCTGGTGGTGAAGTTGCTATCAGAACTAAGTTTAGGAATGGCTATAAATTGTATCTGGTCTTAAAGGGTAATGTATTTATACTTACATTGCATAGTTTCCATTCAGAATAATAAGTTTTCGGCCAGATATTTGAAATTGCATAGTTTCCATTCAGAATAATACGTTTTTGGCCAGATATTTGAAATTGCAAGTGTTTTATTACATTGTGTATCAATACAGGAGTCAAATGCTAATTCTGTTTGTTATACGTCATTCCATTGTCTTATATAATGCTTTCCTTTCTTATGTATAACAGTTCTTTAGTGAATATGAGAAGCTGCTCCATTCAGAAAACTATGTGACTAAGAGGCAGTCTCTAAAGGTAAGGAACTTGTTACAAGATTAATTTACTTTTTCTCAGTGTACTGTATCTCAGTCTTTAAAGAACTATAGAATTGTGTTGCTCTGTGTGTGCTTTCTTGCTGTAAGTAGAAGCAACAAAGTATGGAGGTAATGCAGCCCTGCTATACTCAAGGCTTTTAGATAATCTAGTTTTAACATAAAAGCTAGATTGCATATTTCTGATTGAGAAATTAGCTAAATTAGGGATGTGTACTAAAACTGCAATGCATGCGCACATACCGTAGCATTTGTTTTAGTTTGCTGGCACAGACTCCCTGTAAATTTAAGAATAAAATGCCAAATGCTGCTTACCTTATAAGGGCTTAAGTGGTTTGGCTTCTGTCTCTATCAGTGAAATGTTAACACTCCCTTTACACCTACAGTACACATTTGCGCTTTTAGAACTCTGGCATTCCTACACATCCCAAAATTAGACTCTCATCGATTGGGACACAGCTTTCTTTTCTGTTGCTCCAGGACTGTGGAATCTTCTGTCGGCCCAAATTAGATCTTGCTAGTCCGCTTGTGCTAACATTTCCTGTCTTAAAACTGTTATATGTTATACAATGGTTGTTAATTGTTTTATTTATTAATATGTATATACATATTTGTTTTGGCTTTATATTATGAAAAGCTTGAGATTTCATGAAAGGACATTATTTAAATGATTTATAATAATTTAAGAGTGTTAACAGCAGTGTGTTCAGAGAATGTAATGAAGTTGTGTACAGTTGGTATGTGACATTTTAATGGACTGATAGTAAACGGTAATTTTGTTAAGGTGGCGTTACATAGACATATCCGCATTCTCTATCTTTGCCTGAATTGTTTTTAAAATTCCCTAGTTGCTGGGTGAACTTCTTTTAGACCGACACAACTTCACCATCATGACGAAGTACATCAGCAAACCGGAGAATCTGAAATTAATGATGAATTTACTACGAGACAAGAGTCGCAACATCCAGTTTGAGGCCTTCCATGTCTTTAAGGTAGCAAGGAGAATGTAGGACAGTTTTCTCTGCACAGTTCTCAGTTCTCATGAAAACTGTGTTTTGAAGAAAGCTATTACACATTTTGAAACTGTATCTAATTAAATATTTCAGAAAGTACTTATTGATTCACTGTGAAATAGAGGTGTTTAGCCATTGCAAATGGTGTGAAAAACACAGTTAACTCCTGCAGTTCCCCCCAATTTCCACAAGGTGGAAACATACAACAATTCTAAAACTTCGTCCAAAAAGAGCACTTTTTGGTCTCATACCTTATGTGTACATAACAAAAAATGTATTTTGATGCAAAATAAAGTTGTATTGTACATTAACTTAGTTGTATTAGATTATTTTACAGTTTTCCTTATTTTCAGAAAATCTCTGTATATCAATTTTTAAAATGATTCTAAATTTTACAGAAAAATAACAATTTCCCCATAAAGCAAAGTGATGCCAATGTTTTCAGATGATGTTTAATAGTTCTGCAAACTTAATGATATTGTCCTTACTATGTAATGTATCACTGATATTGGGAAATCCTAACTTTTTTTTCTCTTTCTTTATACAGGTGTTTGTAGCCAATCCAAACAAGACTCAGCCTATCTTAGACATTTTGCTGAAGAACCAGACAAAACTTATTGAGTTTCTTAGCAAATTCCAGAATGATAGGAACGAAGACGAACAGTTCAACGATGAAAAGACCTACTTGGTGAAACAAATCAGGGATTTGAAGAGACCTGCTCCCCAGGAAGCTTAGAGCTCCATTTAATTATGGAAACGGTCAAATCAGCAGCTGCTGTTAAGATATTGAACATTAAACACCCTTATTCAATTCATGAGGAATATTCCTGCTAATCTGCTGTTCAATGAACGGTTCTTTTTGTTTCTTTTTCATCTTATTTTGACTTTCAGAAAATATAGATGCTGCTTTATCGCACATTAGAACACGATGTGGACATATTCCTAAAATAATTTTGTCATTCAAACAGCACAGTAGACATCTTTTATATTTTGAATGCTCTCTCGTAGATGTCTGGAAGCACAGCGCTAGGTAGCATGGGGTTTATAAAAGAAGGGTACTGGCAGCTGAACATGGAGAGGTTGCATGCCTTTAAAATCTGATATGTCGGTGTACTCGCACCTGCTTTCTTTTGCCGAGCGTTAAGCACATGTGACCTGTGCTAACCTTAATGCACGTGCATTACAGTATGAATATAGCTGCAATTCTATGCCTTGATTTAAAGTAAGATTGTGCTTTAATGTAATTAGATGGGAACATGCAGCTACCATGTATGTTTGGGAAAAAATGGTAAAATTCATAAAACGTGTTTAGAAGAACATCTTGAAAGTTGGGGGGGGGAAGTGGCCGAACATGTACATATGCCTTTTTTTTGTTGCTTTCTAGGTATTTTTTGAAGGTGTCATGATTGACAGTATATTACCTGAAATCTTTTAAGGGTTTTTGTTTATTTTTATTGAATCCATTTTCAAACAGTAGAAATAGCAGTGACTTTACGTTTCATTACAGAGGTTTGCTGGTTTCCTATGTACATAACTCCTTAGAAAGCTCATAACTTCTTAAGATATTAATAAATTTGTACAGCAGAAGAATGTTATGGTATTAGTCTGTAACTATTAACCTATTGTTTTTTGCAAATGACTGCGCATATATAATTGAATATTTTTGCAGATTGCAAAGGGTGCTGACTTGCTTTTGAGGGGTACAGAATTAGTGACCGTGAAGCATCTGCATTTGCTTAGGTTGTGGGGTGCCATTAAGAATAGGTGAATAAAAACTGGAACCCAGTAAACTGGATCCCTAACAAGGCCCAAATGAAGCCCAAATCATTTATTTTATCATTTTAATAGTCCCTAAATAAAAGTATTTCAAGTTCTCCTGTGTCAGTGTTTTACAGTGGCAAAAAGGACTTTCAGTTCCATGTGTCATTCTAATTGAAAACCGTAAAAAATTCCAGTACATATACTTAATCTACTGCATGGAGTATTAAGACATTTGAGCACTTCCAAAAATAAGAAAATGTGTTCAGTTCAAATTGAAATGTTAATTTTACATTAAAATTAAATATTCCATTACTCTCTAAGATAAGGAGCACATTTTCTATTTCAAACCAACATGGGAAATAAATAGATGTTTATGAAATGTTTGATAAGCCAGACTTTAAAAGTCTACTATTAAAAATAGAAAAGATACTAACAGTTGAAATTATAAAACTGATAACACACTTATTTATTGATTTTTTTTTTCTGTTGTACAATCTTAACAGAAATGAACAAAAACTGATTATGTAGTGAAAGATAAGCCTGTAAAACAAATTTAAACGTACAGGTTAAAACCTAAGATATTTCAGTTGAAACATGATGTATGTAATATGCAAAAAAAGCAAAGATCTGAATAAGTATTTCACAGTGCACATTTAAATAGCATGCTCCACAGAAGAATTGAATATAGCATGATATTCTCAGAATTGCTGTACTGGAATATTTTTACATACTACAAGCTGTGGTGAGAAATCGGAGAATGGATAAATTCAGAGAAAAGTTTAACTTTTCACTGAACTCTGCAGTGTATTGATGTGACTCTACAGGAGGTACAAAAGTGCATTTATTCAGTTGTCCAATAATCTGGCTGGTCCCAACAGCAACTACAAAAAATAAATTTTGAATAAATTCAAATTGATTTCATCCTGTTTTTCTTTGTTGTGTCCTGTTTTTCTGGTGAATTGCAATATATCGCATATGCAGGCTGATAGTGTTCTAAATGCCATGCTAATGTGTGACTAGAACAGAGAGAGGAGAAGGGGGCAACTCCAGTTATCGTCGCCTGTTTCGAATGGATTTAAAATCTTTACTCCATGTGAAATTATTTTGCTGTTATGTGGCAATGTTAATGAGCTGTACGTAGGTGGAAGTGTTCTTTCCATTACGCTTTTTTTATCAATGTGGTGTCCAATGATTTTTTTTCTCCTAAATGTGGAAGTACCACTCATTGCTTCAGCCCACATTTGTGTGAAAGTGTTCTGCCGGGTGTCCTCCAACCTCGTTGCCGTTTAAGGCTCTCTTTTAAAACAGGCAACCTACGCTGTGGAGGTTTTGGATCTGCTTAGCTTCTGAAGAATGATTGTCCCAAGGCATATCTATAAAAGCTGTTAGTAAAGGCCCATAAGTGAATTATTTCCGGAATAATTGTCCTCCCTCACTCCTAACAGCTAGAAGTTTGATTTATGGGCCAACATGGTATATTAGAATAGCTGGTTATAGCTATTTTTATTTATACATCACACCTAATGAGACGCTTTGTGCTTGTTCTGTGTATTGATGTGGATACGGGGAACTCATTTTACCAGTTAACCCTAAATCTTTAAAAATATTTCTAGGATCAAGGCTAACTTTTTTTTTAAATCTGAGTGCAGAAGTGATGTGGGGGGTGAAGGCATTTTTGAAGCTCCAGAATAATGGGAGAAGTTGCAGTGTTGAGTGGTAATTTACAGCTTTTGTTTTCTACCTGCCTGAAAAACACAGTACTACACACAGTATCAGACGATTCATATCTATGAAAAGTCGAGTATTACAGTAGAACTATCCATTCAGTGTGTAATTCAATATTTTCTGTTTAATACAGGTATAAAAAGTGGGTTACTGAACATGTAGCTTTAAAACAAAAGAGATATGGACATAGCCACAGTAACTAGGCAAAGTCGCAAGTGTATACAATTGTGAGAGTGGAGAAAAACAGTTCAGGGGTTCCCAACCCTGATCCTGGGAACCACAAAGCTGCTCATATTTGTTCCAGTGACTTGCTGTGATCCTTTTAAAGTTTATTTACCTACTGTAAATGTGGAGATGTACATATGATACCCAATATTTAAAAGGCAACTTCCAACGTATCGCCGAACTAAGACCACTGAGCTCACATGAAAACAGGTGGGTGGGTCATCTGGGTTAGTCTGTCAACTGGATTGTGATTCCAAGTTCTCGGAGTGCTGGCAGTCTGCTGTCCACTATCACACTCGCCAATCGCCAATCGCCTCTCTGTTTACGGACGTTTGCCAAAAAAGTCCCGTTTTAAGACTGTCCGTAATATCTGAAGCAAAGGCCGGTACTTTAAGGAGCTGGCCCGCTGGTTACATAAAGCCAAGCAAAAAACGCAGTGAAAATGAAGAAATGTATCGTCATACTCTGACCCACCTGGGAGAAAAAAAAAACAACCGTTGCCAGACACCCGCCGCGGAAAGCAGCAATACTGTAGTTATATAATTGCAATTGTTACATGTAAAAACGGGTTTACTGTCGGTAAATCAGAACAAAAGCCATTTTTAAGGTTGGCATCCCTCCTCCATATGTGTACGTACCTAAAGGATTTTTTCCCTTAATCTTTTTTTTTTTAATTGGTAACGCTTATTGTTGTCTTTTTTTCAATGAACGTATCTAGCCTTATGGGGAACATTTATCATTAGGAAAGAGAAATTCCTGACTGCGGTTCGCATTATTCGTATTAATATTTACGAACCCTGTGTGATAAAATGAAAGCGAAGTCCTAAGGCTGTAAGATTTCCACAAACCCCGCTTCTTCTCCGTCTCTCCATCTATGGAGTATTTCCAGGGAAGAGCTCTACAGCTCCGCCTACGCAGTCTCGGGTCCATTTCCTGAACACCCTGTCTCTTTAAGAGGATTGTTTTAAAAAAAAAAAACCCTGAAACTTCCGGTAGATCAAAGCAAAAGCGAACCTAGAGACAAGAATTAGTAAGTAGGGGGTGAGAGAGGAGAGGTGAGGAGAGAGATAGAAAGATTAAATTATCCTTCAGTCTTCATCTCCAGCAGTCGAAGAAACAATTTCATCGAAACGGTCGGTCACCGAAGGCGCTAGACATGGTGAAGATCAGTTTCCAGCCATCCGTTGGCCAGAAAACCGAGAAGGATGAGAAAGATGGAGAGAAAACGGAGATTCTCATACCTCATCCGCATGTAAGTTAATTATTGTGAGTGGGTTTTTTTTCTTTCATTTTTTTCAATCGTTTGGTGTACTGCAGAGCGTCTGTGTTCAATAAAATCTGTTTTATCGTCTTAATTAAGTGGAGTTATGAAACGAAAACACGGTGGGATTAGAACAGTACACTCATCTCTGAATTTAAGAATGTTATTTGGTTCGAACATAAAATGTAAAATAAAGGAAGGATGGTTTAAAGTATTACTTTTGAAAATAAGGTTGAACGCACGTTTTGTGATGACTGATGCTCTTTTACAAACAGCGAGAACAAAACAAATGTTCTTTAGTACAGGCAATGCATTTTAACACTAGAAAAAAAAAAAGGTGCAACAACTAAGTAAATTAGCCCTGTCAAATATTATTATACCTGGCTGCAAAGACTAGGCTTGCCTCCGCCTCTATTCTCACTAAAATCTTTAAAATGGAAAGTAATAGAGATTGACTGTTATCAAACCGAAAAAAAAAATAGAAACTGCAAGGAAGAGCGGACAAAATGGCAGATGGTAAATGCAGTTTTTACTCTGATTTGCAGTCTCGGATTTAGAGCATTGCTCGTTTTACGGAATTAGGTGCAGTCAACAAATGTTGCTGGTTTAAATAGTGATAATGCCCGTCTTACTGACAACATACATTTGGCCCTTTTAATGTGACGAGATATCTGTGAAAACGGTTAATATACACTGAGCTTGAAACTAAAAGGGCAAAAATACGTCTGGTTGCGTCATTTATTTGCCCTCATTACATTGTTTTTGTTCTTGAGGGTGTTGAATTTCCCGTGATCTTTACTGTAAATGATCTTGTGTAAGTGTTAAGGGTTCTAGAGGAACGGTAAGAGACTGGTTACTTTTAAAGAAGCACATACTGATCTTTTATATCTGATTCAAGGCTTATGGACAGCTGTCATCTCATTATAGGATAATAGATTTATTGGGAGATAAGGGAGTGGGCACATTCGCTTTCAGGTTGTCGTTTGTTAATCATTTTTTCAATTTAAACTGAAGCAAAGCTACAGGGCCTACTAATAAGACTTGACATACTCTGTCCTGTACATTGTGAAATCTGCTTGAGTATTTCCTTAGCTTTTGAAAATTGTAGCATACATTATGTGTATTACTATATCCAATCAGAGTGACCTAAATGGATGTATAGCAGAAGTAAAAAAAAAAACTACTGTGACTATTATGTGTAAATGTTGCAGTGTAGCAGCCTCACTGCAGTGAATAAAGCATTAAAGTAGCTCACAAAGACCTCATTATGTCAGCTTGTGTCTGTAACAATTTTAATCACACTGAGTAAACAGTTCCTTCATGAAGAAACGAGTCAGACTTGTCATTCTCTGCAGGGGACCTGAAGACAGCCGAACTACACCCACACAGGAAGCACTGCAAATAGACGGCTTGATGCTTTATATAAAATCTTATACTCGGTTGAGGTTTCATAACTGTGGCATTTTGCAACATGATGGTGACTAAGGCATCGTGCTGCTGTGGTGTGTTGAATGCTGCTGCCTTGGCATTCTTCCGGTCCTGGGTTCGATTGCAGAGTGGGGCACCTTCTGTCTGTGTGTGTTTGGCATTTTCCCTGTGTGTTCAGGTTTCTTTCCACATTCCAGATACATGCTGGCGAAGTTAGAGGGCATCTCTAAAGTGTCCCTTTGCGCGTGTATCACCCATTCAGGGTGTTTTCCTGCCTTTCCTGGAATAAACCGCTTTCTGATGACAGATGGATGGCTGTGAATATTTGGCCATGTTGTAGCTCAGTGATTCCTCATCCTGGTTCTGTAGTACCACTGTGTGTGCTGGTTGTTATTCTGGGCCCTTAATCACTTGTGCTGATTGGTATCTGTATCTGATCTGCTTACAGGTTTAGACTTTTTTTTGCACTATTTTTTGCAAAAATACCCTAAAAGCACAATATTTCCAACTGCCTTAGCACAGACCTCAATGCAGCCCCCCCACAGCTTTCTAACTGCTCCTTTTTTGACTAGATAGTTCTTAATAAGTGATCAATTGATGAACACAGGTGGAAATGACCGTGTACTGGCCATCACCCACAGCGAGTAAGTGCTTTTCCTTCTGCTTAAGTTGAATGGGTTCATGGCAGTCATGAATTTCTCTA